AGCAGGTATGGGAGTGGTTACATCTCAGGAGGAGGGGAACATTTCCTTACTACCATATACGGTCTTTTTTGTGCCCTTTAGGAAATGAGGAAGTCACCTTAGGCATACGTGACCTAGCTGTTGGTCACGTAGGCTAGCTTTTGTTTGAGAAAGTACTTAGCAATAAGCATTGATACATTGTATAGAATATTGCAACATCATATCATAAAACAAGAACATGACCACAAAGCATAACCAACCAGTCAAAATACTACACAAAAACTGAAAACAAAATATGACAAAATGGACTAGGCTGTGCTTAGTTAATTCTCATTTCATTTGCTAACAGAGATGAAAATCCAGATGCTTCATAATTCTGGATCAAAATCATCTCTCCCTTCTTTCGGAAGATAGTTTTTCAGAAGACTGCATTTGGCTTATTAAAGTGACACAGCTGTACAAATCCAGTAATGCTTATATTGAGCAAATGTTTGTATTGGATTAATAACAAGATAAAGGATTAATGACAAGGATTAAGACACTATAGTATATAATTAAATATATTAAAACATACCAAACTGGAAATGCCAGGCAACCAAAGAGCAGAAAATGTTGTTAAACATTATCTGTAAGATAATCCTTTCTTGTTTTTCTATGTGTAGAATTAAATTGTACTCATATCCTGTTTCCATCTTTTAAACTTAATCTACTTTAAAATCTTTCTCAGGAAAATACATCAATTAAGCAACTGATCCAACTCTTTATAAAGAGACTGCACAAACCAATCAAAATTAATTGAAATCAGGAAATAAACAAAAGTGAAGGAAACTGTGAAAAGAGACTATGAAATAAGGATACATCCACAGATTTTAACTGGATGAAAGGGCAAAATCTTTTGAACTAAGGTGCCCCAAATGGGCTAACTTGCAGAATGTGTCCAAAATCCGGGACCCACGACTCCATGGAATTGAAATTTGGCAAATTTTATAAAGCATTTTATGACATAAATATCATAAAACAGTTTATGACATAATACAAATGTCATAAAATATGTCCAACTCTGCTATACAATTCAACATGGGGTATTTTCAAGGCAGCCACATCTTTGAATGTATCCAATTTTTCCAGTGAACGCACTACATCAGAAGCTTTGTCATTTTGATGGCATTGAGGAATCTGGTAAGGAAATATTTCTGAAAGGATGAGCCAGGGGGTCACAGGATATCTAGTTCTTGTAAATTCCTAAAACATTTATAATCTATTGATTTATAGTTCAAGAGTTGCTTATAGACTTGTTGAAGTCAAGTCAACAACTTGTGGAGAGTAAACAAGGTGATTAATATCAAAATCAGTCAATTAATTGCTTATAATACATTGACAAGTGCCTGGTTGTTGTAGCATATTTTTATGATTCATTTATTCAATTTACATAACTGCCTACCTCACATTTGTGACTGGATAGCTAACATAATTAAATATATACCACAAGAACAATAAACATACCAAATACGAAAACAACACAAAAATATCATTAAAACCAATTAAAAACCACAAAACATAATCAGTAGGAAATTACAAGTGATATGTCAACCAATAAAACCATCTAGCAGACTCTACACCACAAGTACATATGTTCAGGAGAACTTCCAACAGTCTTACCTGGGCTTCTCTGTATAAAGGTGTAAATATGAATTCGTGTCCCTGTGCTTCCTGCATCAAACATGATGCCATAAAATGTTTCCACGCTGGCATTGGCTGGACACATTTTAAGGGGGAAAAGTTCTTGGAACCATAATTCAGGTTTGGGATGAGAAACAATACAATAAATGGAGGAAAACACAAATATGGCAATGACTGTGAACCAGGAAGTACCCATCATGCTTGGGGGCCTTAGAGAACTGCAGTTTGAATCAAGACTTCCAGATTGCAGAGGTTCCTGAAGATAACATTATATACATTAGAAAAATCATAAGTTAAATAAATCAGTCAACAGAGAAACTTCCCACATCCCAAAAAGGTGATTTGATCACTAAAGCAAGGACAAACCATTACACTTCAAGTCTGCTCCTTTGAATCTATGGAACAGTTACAACTGTGTTCTAAAATTCTATGTGGAATAAATATGAAAGTTCTGCTTCTTTATAAAGTATCTCTATTTGCTAATATTGCAGATTCCAAATTAACGTAGGAATTATAATCCTGGCTATCACTCTGAGAAGGCCAGGGAAGCTCAGAATACAAGTGTCATTCAGAACAACCAACAATGGGAATTGCACATGCTGTTGATGACACTAAATAGGCAGAACAAAACAATGCATTTAGTTGTGGTGCCCTCCCACTTCATATCCAATATATGGCTCAGGATCATTTCTGTTTTGTGCTTTTACTTTCAAATCAAACTCACCCAGTAATTGTTTTTGATGTGCAGAAGTACACTTGCATTCTATAAGATTCCAGAAAATATTGATACGGAAATTTCCTATTCAGCACAGGAAATTCACAAAAGCCAAATTATGCTAACATCTCAAACTGAAATGGACATTAATTAAGGAAAACATAAGATAGTTTCAGATTTAATGACTTAAGTTTCTGTAGCAGGAGAAAATTTATGACCAGGTATGGCTTCTAGTAAATTCCTAAGTGCCTAAATAATTTGAAGCCAACACACTGGATTGTAAGGTTTGATGGGCTATAAAGTGTGGGCAGATGCCTGGTTTTATTGTCTTTGGCTATTGTTATGAACCACCCATAATTGTGTTCTACAAGATGGACAACTATGTAAGCCTTTTAAATATGTAACATAACATAACATAAACAGTTCTATAGATTTCTTTACATTAAAACAAAGTATTTGAAATTTAGAAACATTTCTTCCTCCATTCAGGTCCCCTTTCCCCTGCTTGTGCCATTTTGTTTTACTTAGCTTTTCACAGGTATTTCTCTTCCATACTAGATCCTTGCTGGTTATTAACTCTACTCTGGTTTTTTAATAAATGTCAACGTTTATCTTATGCAATCATTTTTCACAATTACAAAAGATCTGATGATTAGAACAGTTCACCGGCATGCGATCGGTACTTAGCATCTGAATCCCTAATTACTGGATTCTTTCTTTGCTTCAGCACCCATCCATCTTGTTCCAATTTTCTATCTCCTGTTATTCAAAAAACTCAAGTTTGTTCTACTTTTCTTGTCCTATCATGTGTTTAACTTTTATTGCTTCTCTTTCAACTTTATTCCTAATCCCAAACTATGACATAACTCCTTAAGAAAAGCAGTTACTTTTTAAGCCAATAGTTCTATTAACAAAGTTTCTCCTAATAATTAATTGAAAAGTTTTTTGCTACATTTGTTTTGCTGGTTTAATTTATACCTTGTATAAAGATCAAGTTATGTTCATGAAAAATAGGGGCAAGAAACTTATAGCAATACATGCCCAACTTATAGCAATACAATAATTATTATCCATATATTTCTTTGGAAATTGGGCAGGCATAAGAATACGGAGTCTATATTTGCCAAAATGAATTTTGAACTTAAACCTAAACCTTACTTTTCTAATCCATAATATTCTAACACATATAAAACCCAAAGTACAAGGGCAATTTGGAAATAAACCTCCATTTGGTTATCAATGACAGACACCACATCGGAAGTGGTGCCATAGAAAATCCCCCAAATGTGAAGATGCCAAAGGAGTACTGCTAGTGAAGTTCATAGAGTGTGGTTCGACCATCAGTTCAGAAGTCTATTGTGAAATGTTACGAAAACTCAGACAAGCCATCCATAACAAGTGTTGGGACATGTGATTTCCGGTGTGGTGTTGGTTCACGATAATGCTCGCCTGTACACCATTAGACGCACCCAAGAACTTTTGAAGCAGTTCCGTTGGGATGTTTTTGATCACCCTCTCTATAGCCCAGATTTGGTGCAGAGCGACTACTACTAAGGAAAATTCAAACCTTGTAAGACATTATGACAAGTACCTGAATTTGAATGGCAATTATGTCAAAAAGTAATGTAATGTTGTAGTTTTATAATGTATATAATAAAAGTTTTGTATCTGCAAGTGTCTGTCATTGATAACCAAAAGGAGGTTTATTTCCGAATTTCCCTCCAAGTACCTTGTTGTCAAAGTATATCGGATTTAAAAGTATAACTAGAAAAATCTGATGCTGAAATTTTAATTTAATCTACAAAAATGCTTCTACATAGATTAAGGAAATTTGATCTAATTGGAAACTTTTAAAATTTAGAAATAGTGAATCTATGCAATATAACCTACCTTCTTTTTACAAATTCCATCTAAAAACATTTTTATTGTAAAACCTTTATCATAATCGCTTAATCTCCCTACCCTTTTATAAGTGTTGGTAATTAAAATAAAGGCATTTTCCTCTCCTTTTTGAATGGAGTAAGAAAGTGAAAAGAACAAAAAAAGAAAACGTTATACTTTATTGCAAAAACTTAATCCCAAAGCATTTCAAAGACTTTTCTTCAGGGGACTTTAAAAAATATCATTCTAATATTATATTGTTTAATAATAGCTAATATGTATGTCTTATTTGCAATTATCATTTAGTTGTATACACCATAAAGATTTTTTTTTTTATGAATTGCATTACCCTTAAGATATTCCTCCTTAAAAATGCATTGGAACTGAGACTCTGCAATATATGTGCATTGATTTTCTTTTTTCCTTTTTTAGTTTTAGAAAGTATAAAAAAATACTTGATTGCTATGTATTGCTTTCCTCCAAGAAGTCAACTTAGCTTGTACTGGAGATCTCTTTTCATTTATTCTCACAAAAATAACCCACAAGTAGCATGGGTGGGGGTGGGGAAGGACAGAAAGAGAGAGAGGGAGAGAGCGAGAGAGAGTATCCCAAAATCACATCCATGGCCAAAGTATATCCTTGAGCCTAGGGCTCCTGGGTCATGGTTCAATACCCTAGCAGCCTAGCCACTAAAACACACTCGCTCTCCATTTTTATTTTTATATATAACATTATTGTAATAAATATATCATATCCTATCCTATCATAAATATTAGCCTTCTTCAAAACATTCAGGACCTGAAATACAAACTATATGTGTACTTACCTATGCTATGGGTACAA